CGTGAGTAATACAATAAATTAAAGTCGTTTTGATAAAAAAAATAACTTAACATTACAGCCAGAAGAACAAAAATCGAACCGAACATTAATGTTTATACAGTATTAACTAGATGCAATTATTATTATTAATCATTGTGTGTGTATACGTATGTATGTATATTTGTATGTGTGTGGGTGTGTATACGTTTGTGTACTGTACACGTTGGCCCACTTTTGTTATACATTACCAATTTTAATTTGGTCGTTGGAGACGTCCACATGTAGTGGCAGAAGCTGCTGCTTGCGCTTCTCCTCTTCCTCTTCCCTGTATCTGTGTTGTCGGGTGTTTAGAGTAGTTAAATACTTGAATGGCATTTAAATAATTACATCAGCGTTTAAGAGGTGTCTCAATTGAGAAGCAGAATTTTTGAGGCGGTATTAAATCACTTTGGATTAGTATTAAATTACTTTGGATTAGTATTAAATCACTTTGGATTAGTATTAAATCACTTTGGATTAGTATTAAATCACTTTGGATTAGTATTAAATCACTTTGGATTAGTATTAAATCATTTTGGATTAGTATTAAATCACTTTGGATTAGTATTAAATCACTTTCACCTCCTTCTGCTGCTGCTTCCTACCAAAGTGAATTTTCGCGAACGGATTTTGGATTAGTATTAGATTAGTATTAAATCACTAACTAAAAAAGTTAGCTTGATAAAAGTTATTATGTCAATTATTTATTTTAGTTATTTATTTTAGTCTAGACACCACCCGCAAGAAGACAGAAACAACGAACAATAAACAGTCTAGACACCTCTGAACGGCATAGAGACAGGCTCCAGTCACGACTAGACAGACGCTCAGCCACCAGAGCCAGCTCTTCGACTCGCTGTAGACGCTGACGGCTATGATCGTCTGCAAGATAGCTTTGCAGTTGGCGCTGATGTGGTGCGAGACAGGTGACGTCACATTAATTTGGACGGCGCTTATCCAAGAGATTAAGAAGCCTGTAGGTGTGTTTGTTTGTTTGTATGGTTGTTTGTTCTTTTGTTTGTTTGTTTGTACGTAGGGATGGTTGTTTGTTAGTTTGTATGGTTGTTTGTACTTTTGTTTGTTTGTATGGTTGTTTGTAGTTTGTATGTATGGTTGTTTGTTTGTTTGTATGGTTGTTTGTTTGTTTGTACGTATGTATGGTTGTTTGTATGTATGTATTGTTTGTTTGTAAATATGTATGTATGGTTGGTTGTTTATTTGTGTACTCGTACGCATGTACGGTTGGTTAGTTGTTTGTTTGTATGTATGTATATATGTATGTTTGTATTTATGTATGCATGTATGTATGTATATATGTATGTTTGTATTTATGTATGCATGCATGTATGTATAACAGCTAACTAATAAGCTAACTAATAAGCTCCCGCATATTTTCAATAACTATTTCAATTTAAATACTAACAATAGACGATTAAATAACATTTTAGCTAACAAATCAAAAACGAATATACTCTTTTCACATATTATATGTAAAGGTCCAAGAGTATGGAATTATATTATGAAAAATGGTTTTTGTAATGAAAATATGCACAAGAACTTCAAAAATAGGTTAAATCGTTTTTATTGAAAACACACATAAATGTATGTGTTGGTTTTTAATTGTGGATTATTCAAGGGCCATTACTTTCAAAGGTGTATAATTTATATGGAAAACTAGAAACATAATTTGTATTTTCTGTTACGGTGGCCATGCTCGATGAATTTCAATAAGAATTCTATCATAGTCAGCCCGCTTCTTATGATTAAATTCTTTTTTAATTTTATGGAGCAAATAAAATTTCGTTTCGTTTCGTATGTATGTATATATATATGTTTGTATTGTTTGTTTGTAAATATGTATGTATGGTTGTTTGTATGTTTGTGTATTTGTGCGTATGTATGTTTGTCTGCCTGTTTTTTTGTGGTTGTGTGAGAGTCGTTTGAGAAATCGTTCAGCACAACATTCATTCAATCAGTCACTCATTTATTTTTTTTTTAAATTCAATCTTCAATTATTCATCATTTGTTCAATCCGTCAACTATATTCATTCGTTTATTCGTGCACTCACTCGCTCGCTCACTCACTCACTCTTTCACTCACTCATTCACTCACTCTTTCACTCATTCATTCACTCACTCTTTCAGTCATTCACTCTTTCACTCATTCATTCACTCACTCATTCACTCACTTACTCATCCAATCAATCATTCATTCACTCCAAAAAAATAAAATTTCCCCAAACCAATATATCAAGGAGTATGATCGTGACATTAACATTATAAATGCTTACTACTACTACTACTACTACTACTACTACTACTACTACTACTACTACTACTACTACTACTACTACTACAAATACTACTACTACTACCACCATCCGCATCATTGTGATCATGGTCAAATTAACATTAACATGTAACTTTTAGAACTAAACATATTACTATCGCTGCTAATGGAACTACTACTAATACTGCTACTACTACTACTGCTGCCACTACTACAGCTACTACTACTACTACTACTACTACTACTACTACTACAAATACTACTACTACTACCACCATCCGCATCATTGTGATCATGGTCAAATTAACATTAACATGTAACTTTTAGAACTAAACATATTACTATCGCTGCTAATGGAACTACTACTAATACTGCTACTACTACTACTGCTGCCACTACTACAGCTACTACTACTACTACTACTACTACTACTACTACTACAAATACTACTACTACTACCACCATCCGCATCATTGTGATCATGGTCAAATTAACATTAACATGTAACTTTTAGAACTAAACATATTACTATCGCTGCTAATGGAACTACTACTAATACTGCTACTACTACTACTGCTGCCACTACTACAGCTACTACTACTACTACTACTACTACTACTACTACTACTACTACTACTACTGCTACCATTACTGCTACTACTACAGCTGCTATAACGACCGAAACAATGGATGTTGTAGTGATTTTAAATAAAACATCAACAATAACAGCAAAATCAACAATAATAATAATAATAATAATAATAATAATAATAATAACGACGTCAACCGCAAACCACAAAATCACAACAACAAACAAACAAATTATAAAAAAAACAATCAAACCAAAATGAAAAAAATAATAATCAAATTAACCATCGAGTCATGCCTAAACTAACGAGCATCATACAACACACACACGCATACACACACGCACACACACACGCACACACACAAACATACCTACATGCACCTGTATCTATGTATGTATACGAAAGTACATGTTATGCGGCTCTTGTTGAATACAGCCTCTCTAAAATTTTACCAGATTCTCTCTCTTTCTCTCTTTCTTTATTTCTCTTTCTTATATGTATAAAGGAGAGAGAGAGAGAGAGAGAGAGAGAGAGAGAGAGAGAGAGAAAGAGAAGAAAAAAAAAGATAGGCAGAAAATTAAATTAAAGATTGAGAAACAAATAGAGATAGATAGAGAAAGAGAGAGAAAATGAGACGGACAGACAGACGCATCCAGACAGACAGAGGGACAGACAGTAGAAGAAAAGAGTGAGGAAGGGACATCAAAAAAGATGGATAAAAAGATAATTAGAATAATAAAGAGAGAGAGAGAGAAAGAGAGAAAGAGAGAGAGAGAGAGAGAGAGATGAAAGTTTATAGCACACACACTCACACCTAGGCAAATATTTACTTACGAAAATTTAAACAAACATTTCATAAAATGGTGATACGTTTTGAGATTTGAGATTTTAAAAAATATTATTACAGCTCACAAAAAGTAATGCAGATGTTGACTATACACACACACGCACATACACACACACGTACACACACACACACACACACACACAGACACGATACAAAACTCTAGTTGGAGCCATTGATTTTCAAAAACTTTGCGTCGTCTTTCATAGTCTGATTTTTTTTTTAATTTTTACCCAAAACTCCAATTGGAATTCTATTTTCCCAAATTCATGCTCACATATACAGACCTATATAATGACGAACACACACATTTTTACACACACACACACACACACACACACACACACACACACACACACACACACACACACACACATAAAAACTTTACCCAGAATTCCAGTTAGAGTCATCAAGCCCCAAAATTGAATGGTGAAAACCCTGCTGCTACTATAAGCCTGGCCGAACTCACCCAGAATTATTAAAACTGGCAGAAACATAACAGAAGCGAGAAGGTTCACAATCATTGTCAGTTTAAATTCGTTTTTGTCAACTACTGTTAGCGCCTGTGTATGCGTTTGTTCGTGTGTGTGTGTGTGTGTGTGTGTGTGTGTGTGTGTGTGTGCGTGAATGAACTTGGCAATTAGTGAACCATCGAACCATGAAAACAAATTCTAGCATATCATTGTCTCAAATATATTATCAACATACATATATTCACACTCACACACAAACACACACACACACACGTACTAACACACACACACACAAACACACACACACAAAAACACACACACAAACACACACACAAACACACACAAACACACGCACACACAAACCTGTTTAGTATAAATACCAGTCAGAGCAATAAAAATGCTGGAGGTTACACCGAAGAATACCCCATAGGCAGAAACACCCCGGCCCAGCCCCTCTTGGTCAATACCCAGTATGAACCCAATGGCCACCATCAGACAGCAGAAGATGATTGTGTAGGAGATGTGTCGTTTTAGAATGATTAGAGAAAAGATGACTACAAAGATTATCGTCATCGATCGTGCTACCTGTGGTTGTGTGTGTGGTGCTGTTGTTGTTGTTGTGTGTGTGGTGTTGTTTCTATTGTATGTGTGTGTATGTTTGTGTGTGTGTGTGTGTGCATGTGTGTGTTTCTAATATAGTGGCACATGAAGTTTTTGGCCAGCTTTTGTATTTTTTCGAGATTTTTATTTAGAAAAAATACTAACATCTTAGAGATAAATATTAT